ATCCAAGAAACATCTTTCTGCAATCTTGGATCTTGGATCCAGCCGGGGCCCGACTTAAACACTTAAAAAAACTTAAGTCGTTAAGTCGGGGCCCCGGCTGGATCCAAGATCCAAAATTGCAGAAAGAAGTTTCTTGGATCCATCTTGGATCCGGGAGGGCCCCGACTTAATGACTTAAAAAAATTAAGTCATTAAGTCAGGGCCCCGGCTGGATCCAAGATCCAAGATTGCAGACAAAAGTTTCTTGGATCCATCTTGGATCTGGGAGGGCCCCGACTTAATGACTTAAAAAAATTAAGTCATTAAGTCAGGGTCCTGGCTGGATCCAAGATGGATCCAAGAAACTTTTTCCTGCAATCTTGGATCTTGGATCCGGGAGGGCCCCGACTTAATGACTTAAAAAATTTAAGTCATTAAGTCAGGGCACCGGCTGGGAACACAACCGACAAGGAAGAAACAAGCGTCCACGGCGTCCCCTTCTGTAAAATGTTGGTGGTTCAGGCGTCCTTTACAAGGGAACCTTAGAGGTGCATGCTGCTCGTGTGCTCGTGGGCCTTATCGGGCCGCTTCATTGGGTATAAGGTTTAGGGTTGAGGGAGTAGAGTTTCGGGTTTGGGAGTCTAGGGGTTTAGAGTTTATAGGGGTTAGGGTTTAGGGGTAACCCCGAAAGCTTAAACTTTAAACCCTACACGCATATATGGTCCCATATCCATTAATTTTAACGCTACGCCGCCCGCCTCGGCTCTGTAGCGGCAGGGCGAGGCGGCAGTGGATGTTGTATACAGCATGCTAAGCGGGAGTGTCGGGGAGGGGGGGAGCCGGACAAGGGGTGGCAAATGAGCGCAAAAAACGGGTGTCCCCAAACATTTGGACTGCAGGGAGGAGGATTAGGTGGAGGGTACCTGAGGTAACCACCAAGACGCCTGGGCCTGTAACCGGTTAAGGCCTTCCAGCCATGCCGCCCGGAGCAAGAAAAACAACACAGAAAGAGCCTGAAAAGAAAGACAGGCAGTGGATTGACGACGCAAAAGCCAAAGCGGGGGCGAGGAAGACGAAACGAGGGCGGGGAGAAGAAGTGGGAGCAGGAAAGAGGGAAGAAAAAGGGGGGGAGGGGGGAGGGGGGGGGGAGGGGGGGGGTGAAACCATAAACCTCTAAAGGGGTAGCTCTAACAGGTACCTACAGCAATGGCTGCATGCTCATACATATACATTCCGCTGCCCATTGGCTCACAGTGGTTTTACCATATTGAGACAAGACAAGCTCTCCTTGCGTAGCAAGACAAAACAACTACTGTCCGTGTGCAGGGCGCTGCCCTTTGATCCTTAGGGAATAACTGGTCATACACCTCCTTACAAGGAGTATACCTTGGGGGTGTATCGGCACAGTTTTCTGGTAGCGGAGCCCGGAAAGGGCCGCCCGCCTCACAAAGTCCGCTACAGCGGTCGGCCTCGCCGAACGCTTAACCAAGCGGATAAGAGGCAGCACAATGTCGAGCTCGCATAGCGAAGCCGACGTCAGTTCCCAATCCTCCGGGGGATATGAGAACGAAGAGACCTCCCAAGGTCCAGCCACTTATGTCGCACAGTCATATGCAACATCTGACCGCATGCTTGCATCATTAGGCATAACGCCCAAGATCGCGCCTGCCTATGATGGCACCACCTCGTGGTTTGAGTATGAACAGTTGATTGACGACTGGTGCGATATAACAACGCGGGATGATACCAAAAGAGGTCCGTCTCTCAAGACGAGGCTCTCCGGATTGGCCGCAGTACAAAAGGAATCACTCAACCGAGAAAGGCTTGCAGCCCCAGATGGAGTAGATTACTTCAAGAAGAAGATGCGTCCATTTTTCGTGAAAGGAGAACAGTACGTTTTCCTGTGGCGTTTTCTCGGCCTATTCAAGGCATGGAAGGGCAACCAAGACTTTGTGACTGGGATTGCTAAGTTTGAGATCGTGCTACAGCGCGTGAGAAACTCATGGATGGATCTCTTACCAGAGATAGCTCTGGAAGATGCCCATCCGGATTTCATGCAGGCTGTGCAGGCAGATCAAACCTTCATGCGCCTACAGGATGCAACCGAGAGAGACACATACGCCGCACGTTTCTTCGAAACATGGAACAAGGAACGCCTTGATAATCATCGAAGAGCGTTTCCTCTAAATGATAATCTCCTAGCTATCCTCTTCCTAGTGCAGTCCGACCTAAATGAGATGCAACGTGAGAGGTTGGTAACAGCATTGACCAACCAAGGTTACCGAATTGAGACCTACACGTACCCTATAGTACGGCAGACCATGTTCGATCAGTTCTCAACGACCAGAACTGGTCTGCAGGATCCAAATATTCGGCACACTTCTCACAAGAAGGACCGCCATGGAAGGAGAGATCAACGCCGCAAACGCGGAGGTCGAAACTTCCTCATCCTCGATCAGGGTGAATACGACGGCGTCGATGGATTCTGGCTCCAAGACGAAGACACCCTTGAGGAAGGCTTTCTTGCCGCCGAGGATGAAGAAGCTGTCTTCTGGAAAGTTGACGACCATGAGGCCTTCGTTGCAAGGAGATTCAAAAAGGGAAGAAGACCAAGAATGCGTCCCGGATCACCGGGAAGAGCAAAGGGTGGCAAGCGAAAAGGACGTGGCCGTTTTAGGTCATACCGCGGAAAAGGGAGAGCCAACCAGGCAGAACAGGATCCAACTGATTCCAGCTATTTCGGTAAAGGTAAAGGAAAGGAAAAAGGAAAAGGTGGAAAAGGCAAAGGAAAAGGAAAGGACAAAGGAGATAAAGGAAGCTCATTCAAGGGCTCAAAAGCAAAAGGCAAAGGTAAGGATACAGCTAAGTCTGCCTCCTTACAAGGAGACCAAACTGGATCTCCACAGGCCTATGAAAGTTCCACCGCACCGAGCGGGGATTCATGGTATGAGGACAGTTATTATACTGACTCCAGTTGGAATTATGCCGCTTATGACGATCAAACGTTTTTTTTTTTTTTTTTTTTTTTTTTCTTTTTTTTTTTTGTTTCTTTTTTTTTTTTTTTTTTTTTTTTTTTTTTTTTTTTTTTTTTTTTTTTTTTTTTTTTTTTTTTTTTTTTTTTTTTTTTTTTTTTTTTTTTGTTTTTTTTGTTTTTTTGGTCTCTCAAATGTTTCCAATATTATTGCATCAAAAGCCTCACGAAGCAAGATACGGAAAAAAAAAGAAGAAGACGAACAAGCAGGTCATTTCAGGTAGAGGCACAGAGCCGAGCGCGCACCAAGAACCCGTGTACAACTCATCAGTGAGTTACGTGCCCCAGGTCTTTGAACCATCCGAGGGGCAAGGTGTGGAGACTGCAACAGCAGTGTTTCCGTTGCAGCACACCGTCCTATCTGCTCTCACAGAGCGGATCAATCTTGATAAGAGCCCGACCTTTGTCATACTTGACTCTGGTTGTACTAGGGCTATGGGTTCCCGCTATGCGGTGAACAGGCTTATCAAGGCCGTGAAGCAACATGCCCCAGGCATGATTGATTCCTTTGGCACATTCGAACACGAAGTTCGCTTTGAGATAGTGAACACAGCTCTATCAAGGAAGGGTAACGTATGGTTTAAACACAAACTCCAAGAGAGATTACAACCATAGAAGTTTTGGATCAGGACGAGTTCCCCTTGTTCCAGTGAAACAGTGAGAAATCTAAGAAGACCCTCGAGTGGTAGTCCAAAGCTGAACTGGCAAACCGTGTGAAAGCTTTCGGTTGGTATAACACCCTTTTTCTTTTTTTTTTTTTTTCTTTTTTTTTTTTTTTTTTTTTTTTTTTTGTTTTTTTTTTTTTTTTTTTTTTTTTGTCTTTTTTTTTTTTTTTTTTTTTTTTTTTTTTTTTTTTTTTTTTTTTTTTTTTGTTTTTTTTTTTTTTTTTTTACGATAGTACCAATAACCATTTGGTATTGGACCTTTTAGGCTTTACTTCCACCAGGAAGTACCTTCCTAAGTCAGGTACATCGTTCCGTGCGACGGAGACTGCTCTAGGAGCCAATAAGCCTTATGTTATGATACCGGAAGGTCGCTGTCCAGCCTGTGCCGGACAGAAAAAGGCTCACACGTACCTCAAGGGTTGTGACAGAGCACCTGAGGGAGCAGCTGATCCACCACCGAAGAGGATTTCAGGGAAAAGGAAGCCTCCTCCATCTGATCCGGCAGAATCATCTGCCAAAAGACTTGATCCACCAGAAACATCTGGAGATGTTCCTGAGCCTTCCGGACCATCGGAACCATCATCAGGCTCTAGGGACAAACCTGCAGAATCCTCTGCACCACATGAACCTCCAGAAGAAGAAAGACTTGAGGTTCCACCTGCGAAGATAAAGACTCCAAAGGGTCTCAAAAACCTTTTGAAGAAATCCCGCAAATATGCGGTTAAATCTCCTGTTGAAGAGAAGTCTAAGGTCCCAGGAGCTGATGACGGGACGGAGGTAAGACCACTTGAGTCAAGAGAATACCCGGCTCATGGTACAGACTCACCTACAGGTGAAGAGATTGTCGCAGAACCATCGCCATCTCTTCCCATTGCTCTTCGCAGGATTCATGAGAAGCTTAAGGACCCTGTAGAACTCTATAAGCTTCACCTTAAGCACAGTCATATGAGTACGGATCAGTTCAAGCGACGCACAAAAGCCTTACAGATCCCAAAGGAGATATACGAGCTATATGACCAACTGGTCAAAAAGTGTTCAGCCTGCCAGGAACATGTGAGAGCTCCTTCAAGAGCGAAGATTTCTGGTCTAAGATCAGAGACTTTCGGTGATCTCACCTTCGTAGATCACGGTGAGCTTCCAATTCCCGGCAAGGATAGTCGCTTAGTATTTCTTATTCTCTATTATGGAGCAACAAACTTGTTGACTGCCGAAGTAGTCCAGGATAAAGAAGAACATACTACAATGTCGATTATGAATGACTACTTTGAGAAATTTCAGATCAACCCAAAGGTTGTAGTTGGAGATCAAGCATTCATGACTCAAAAATGGAGGCTTATTACAATCGGCAGAATATCAAGCCTGTGGCAACAGGACCTGGAACACCATGGCCCAACAGGGCCGAAGCTGCTGTAAGATTGCTGAAGCATCAAATTAAGCTCATACTTCAGATCCTGAAGGATGGTGACCCGCAGTATAACGGAATCACCATGAAGTATGGCAACCTCGTTCGCCAAGCATGTTTGGCAAGAAACTCTTCGATTACCTACGGAGGAGTTACTCCTTTAGAAATGGCCTTTGGAAGGCGGCCTCGAGATGTTATAACACCAGAGAACGCTGATCCCAATCAGTTGACAGGTAATCCAACTGATACGGAAGTCACTGCGAGAGCCATTAAGGAGCTTGCCAACAGGGCTTACCAAGAGGCACGCCAATCTGATGATCTGCGCAGAGATCTTGCGGCCAGACTGTCAATGACCGAAGGACCTTTCTCTTTGGGAGATAAGGTTTTCTACTGGTCAGAGGATAAGTCTAAGATTGGATCAACTGGGTCCAAACATGGATCTTGGCTAAAAGGAAAGGTGATCTCCGAACTCGGAGGATCCATGGTAGGTGTGGATCTTGGAACACGCATCGTCCGCGTCAATATCTCAAAACTGAGGAAAAATTATGACATAACATCTGATGTGGAGATTCCTCTCGCGCCTGATGAGGAAACTCTGACGTCAGAAGGTTCTGACCACGCAAGTTGCATGGTCACCTTCGATGCCTCCCTGCAGTCGACAGACCTAACGATTCCACATCAAGAGTGTCACTGGCAGGTCACCAGCACTGGGAAGATTGACTTCCTAGAACTCTACGGCGGATCTCCCCGCATGAGTCACAAAGCTGCCCTGTCAGGTCTGCGAGTAGGTCAGCCAGTCGACTTGCGTAGTGGTCTAGATCTTGAGCAACCTCAAGGTCGCTCCAATCTTCTTAGGATCATCAAGGAACAAGAACCTACTATTATTGTTATGTCACCGGACCATTCTCAGTGGTCTAGCTGGTACTCACAGTGGAAGAAAGGCTCTGCCAAGAGACTTTCTGTTTTAAAATTCTGTGAATCGGTCGCAGACCACCAAATGAAGCTCGGACGTTACTTTATTCTTGAGAACCCATACTACAGCAGGCTCTGGTCTTCACCAGAAGCAAAACGCCTGTTTTCTAATCATAAGATCAGCTATGAGGTCTGTAACCTACAGGCCTATGGCATGAAAGATCCAACAGGATACTATGAATCGAAATCCTCGATTTTTATGCACAACTTGCCACCGCAAGTTTTAATTCCTCTCCAGAGGCATTCTGCCAAAACGAAATCTCCAACATCTCCACCAGGAGACGAAAAGGGTATTCAAGGCTACGGTCTTAAAACGAAACTCGCACAAGTGTATCCTTATGAATTCTGTGAGACCTTTGCCTCGTGTTTGGCAAGATTCTTGAAACGAGATGCGTATGCATCTCATCTGTCTTTAGTCACAGACATACTAGAATACTCTGGAGATGAATGCCTCCAGGGACTTTCGGAACTTCTTGATCAGGAGTATTCGCTTTTGACAACAAATCCTCTCAAGGATTCAAAACTCCTGCAAGATCCGAAAATCAGATCACTTGTTGCTAGAGTAAATTCTTTATCGAGTAAAACTGAATTACCATTGCATCATTCCAAACCATCACCGTCCCTTGATGCCTTGGTGTCAGACATTACTCGCCTTAGATCAAGACTCTTACCAGGGTCTGGTTTCGAACAGTGTACTCTATACAGAGGTACATTTGGAACAGTAAAGCACTCACCAGTGTAACTGATGGCGTTCTTGTCTTCTGGAACAAGAAGAAGCCCAATTCGACTATGACGTGTTGCTTGCCGCACCAGGTTTCCTGGAACAAGGTACACCCATCAACCTTCTCGGGGGTGCTATTCCAGATGACAGGCGGCAAGACTTCACCGTCCGTGCGAACACCGCCGGATGTAATCATGTCGGACGAAGAGGTTTCGCCGTCAGACCCGTCAGAACCAATGAGCACTAATCGCTCACGGATCACATCTGACGATGTTTCTATGCCGGAACCAGATCAGCCGATGCCTCCCGGCACGCCGCCGTCGCGTCCTCCTCCTCCCATACCTCCACCGCGACTACCGGCCGTTTCCTCCGATGAGCCCGTGGCTCCTGCTCGGGCTAAGCCTCGCGTGCATCCGCCTCCTCGCGTTCCGTCTCCTCGGCGTCTGGGGGGTGATGTGTCGCCAAGGTCTTCATCGGAAAGGAAAGTTTCGCCGCACAAACAGAAATCACCTTCACAGGTGCCGACACCAAAACCTAAACCGAAGGCACATCCACAGGGACCCATTCTTCCGTTACAACAAGATGAAGAAGACACTGAAGAAGAACTGGTCCCAGACGACCCCGGACAACCGTCCGCTCCTCCTCACACTTCTGGTTCACCAGAACCGGAGAGCGATGCCGAGTCAGAAAACACAAGGTATTACTCTGATGAGGAAGGTGACTTGGTCGTAGATGAGAAGGACTGGGTCCTTCTCACAGAAGAACAGAAACTGTGCAGTAACACAGGTTCTTTCTCCATGCCTCGGTACATGCATGGCGGACCCGTAGACATCAGAGAGGTAACATCAAGAGTGAGGTCAGACCGAACACGGTATAAACCCACCAAAAGGTTCCGATCTGACATCCGTGAAGAGTATGATCTTCTCACGGAAGAGGACAAGGCCTTATCCTTAAGTTCCCCCAGGAACTCAGCGAATTTAACCCAGAAAGCACAGCGGAAGGAGGCAACCGCCAAGGAAAAGCGTGAGATGAAGAAACAGTTTGATGAAGCGAAAGCAGCAGAATATCAGAGCTGGCTAGACAATGATGTCTTTGAGCTCGTCGATACACGGAAACTCGGAAACATCCGAAATTATGTCACTGGTCGATGGGTCCTGACTCTAAAAAGAGACAAGGACGGAAACTTCCTTAAGTGCAAGGCCCGATGGGTCCTGAGAGGTTTCCAGGATCGACAGAAGGACATTCAGCAAACTGATAGTCCTGCTGCGAGTCGCCCAGGTTTCCGCTTAGCGATTCAACTAGCAGCTAACAAGCTGTGGAATCTGACACACATCGACCTAAAGACTGCTTTCCTGCAGGGTGAAGCCTATGATGAGTCGAGAGACATAATCTGTCAGATTCCTCCTGAAGCAGGTTATCCTTCCTACATTGCAGCGAGGATGAAGAAACCCGCTTATGGACTTAACGATGCACCTCGAAGATGGTGGAACATCGTTGATAAGGCACTCCTGTCTTATGGCCTGGTGCCAACCCGTGCGGATCGCTGTACATATGTTCTGTATGGTAAGAAGTCTGCAACAGCAGATGCTGAGCTCAAGAAGTCTCAGCCAAAGACCATGGAATCAGCGATTGACTATCTCCTAGATCCCATAGCAGGCAACAATGCCAAGGGTAGACAGGTACATGGAGTAGTCTGTTTGCATGTAGATGACCTGTGCATGGCCGGTGATGACACCTTTCGTAAGGCCGTGATTGAATCGATCAAAAAGGAATTTGCAGTAGGTTCTGAAGACACGAATGATATCATGTTTGTAGGACAGAGATTAGTCTGGAAGGATGCTACAGCATCAGTGCCAGCACATATCTCAGTAAATCAGAACCTAGCTGTTGAAGCTCTAGAAGAAATTGTTTTTGACAAGAAGCTCAACAATGAGCAACAATGCACACCACAGCAGCACACTGCTTATAGAAGTGTTTTAGGACAGATCAACTGGCTACAAAGCCGGACTCAAGCTCACATCTGTTATCGCTTCAGTAGGTGTGCGAGCAAGGCTGCCAAGCCTACTATCGGTGATATTCGAGAATTGAACAAACTTGTTAGGATTTTGAAGTCTACCGAAGTAGAATTGCGTTTTTGGCCGCTGAAGGAAATCTCAGAATCCTCGGTTACCCTGATGCTTCCTACAGGAACAATGATGACAAATCATCTCAGAGAGCACATGTTATTTTCCTTGCTGAAGATCGAAATCCAAAGCTAAAGGGAATGAAACAATCAGCAGCAGCTGCTTCTTCCAAGAAGAACGATTTCTCTGAATCCTCTATTAAGGAAACATCCTCGAGAGGTAGCCTGGTGGATTATGAGTCTCACAAGATTACGACAACCACAATGTCCACAACAGTGGCAGAGCTTAACGCACTGATGCGTTGCTTTGGTACCTGCCTGTTCCTCAAGGGACTTTGGGCAGATCTCTCATCAGAGACCGTACCTATACATATCAGAACAGATGCGAACAATCTTGTGACAACAGCAGGCACGACACACCTTCCAGAGCAAAAGGAAACTCACCATCTTATACAGATGCTTCGTAAAGAATCCAACTCTGGATCTTTAGATGACCTAGCTCATGTAAGCTCGAAGTACTGCCTAGCTGATGCATTAACAAAGCATTCGGCACAACCTGATGAGCTTATCAAGGCTCTGGAAACAGGAAACTTACCAGAAACAGACATTCATCCACCCTTCCGTGAACTTCTTCAACATAAAGCTTTCACTGTTCGGTGGATCATAGACAACCTTAGGAATGCCGCTACAGCGGTAGCTTTCCTTGGAATTGATGTCTCAACAGAGATTTACCGACTATTTTACTGCCAAGGAACATGGTGGTAGTCCTGTTTGCTGATAGCACAACCATGTGCTGGATTTTCTATTTAGACTGTTTTTCGTCTAAAAGAAAATTTGTGTCTGCAAGCTGCGTTTTCATCAAGATCGGACATGTTCATGAGAACTATATGTTCTGTATCATCCGCAGCCGCTTTCAGCCTCGAGCCTCACAGCAATCAGCCTTTTGAGCTAACCAAGCATTCCTGATCCTGTTTGGTCATCGTGCCGTAATGAGCACACGATCAAACTTCCGTAGCCGTGATGGACACGCCCTACCCAGGGCAGTACAGGCGTACCATGAGCGACATCCACACATGGATAGCTCTTACCCCGAGTCTCGTCGGGAAGCATCACGTCGACACACCGAACACGGTGGACACCGATTTCACAAACGTGAGAAAAATAACGAGCCTCCATACATTTACATGGGTCACCAACAGGTGTTCAATCCGCGTCCAAGAGATCTTGCTGACCTGATCTTACGATGTGGCCATGCGAGTCGAGCAAGGCTCACTCCAATCTCCAGACATGGAGTCAGGCTCTACGAAGGAGTCCTTCAAGGACCATGGGACAACAGTCCCCTTTTATACTGGGATAACAACGTGGGTAATCACGCTCGTGATCCACGCCAGTTTTGTACGATGCTTGCACATCACCTTCAGACTGGCCTCCCACAGGAGGTAAAACAATGTGTGAGTCTTGATGCATCTGGAGAATATGACTATTCCTCCTCAGTGCCAAGACTGACAGAGGTAACAGGTCTCTCACCAGAGATGTGCTTCCACATTCTTTCCAAGACCAACAGAGTCGGAAGGTGGTTGGCACACTCAACAAGACACCTTCAGAACCAGCGCCAAGATCTCTTTGCTGGCCAACACAATTATCTTCTGGACATGTCCAAGTTGGCCGATGCAGAGCTCGCACAGTATACACCACAAGAGATCGCGCTTGGTGTCCTCCTTAACACTAAGTCCAGGTTCGTGGTCACTATGGTTTATAACCAAGATGGCAAGGCCGAAACAACAGATGCCGCCGTTACCATCCCACAGGATGCAAATGTGCTGACCATGACCAAACTTTTCCTCTCGGCAGTGGGAGGACACGGTTCACGACGAACTCTACCAAGAGCTGAAGAACCAGATCCTGAAGAAGAGAGGCCAAGGTCACACATGACCATCTCAGACTTCATGGCAACGGGGAGCAATCCTGTGCAGTCCCATGCACAGCGTCTCTCCACTAACGCGCCAAGGCCCGTAGGCATGGAAGATTTTGTTCGACAGAACAACCCTTGTTACATCATGCATGCCACGGACTTACAGGCATTATCCTCAATCCTGAGGCATGGTCTGGTACCATCAAACCTCCTATCGCAGGTGGTTACCTCACCAGGTCTTCAAGCTCTCGTGAATGAAAACAGTCGTTCCAACAGGGACACTGTTCAGTTTTCAACGCTAAACCTGGCGAATCCTAATCCGACTTTGCTGCGTGCCAACAAGGCACTGCTTCTAGTATTCGACGCAAATAACGTAGTGAACGAAGTCACAAACATGTGGCAGTCGCAAGCAGGGATGTTTGCTACACCAGAGGTAGTGCATGCCCGTACTCTTAGCGCCGTATTTGCACCCTCTGAAACACTCTGGGTATCATCGCAATACGATGAGCTCAAGAGCATCGGACCATGGTGGGCAGACCACTGCTCCGAACAGATGCCGTCAGCGACTTACGAGTCGAAGAAATGGTGCTCAAATTACGGCCAAGAGATCGAATCGACACTTCGCAAGATGTCAAGGCGAAATCTGCCTCCAGAGCCTCCCAAGGCTAGATCTTCTCACAAGAAGTCTTTCTCTCTGCCAAATACAGAGGCTGACACAGCTCCAAACCTGGAGCAAACCGCTTCTGCAGGTGAAGTACCTCCGAAAACGGAGACTACTGCAAAGGAGATCCATCCGAGATCCAAGCTCGCCCGGCAGGCCGAGGCCGACAAGGATCCGGACAGTCTTATGGGACAGCTCTGGAACTCCGACGGCACCAGAAGCGCCACTGAAGTTCTTAAGATAACGACAGGTCACAAACCTCCAGAACCTGTTCAGGATACTTCTGCCAACGTAGTTCCTCCCAAGGAAGAATCTTCTGGAACAGAGACGGAACCTGAGGAACCAGATCCTAACCAGGATTGTGACGAAGAATCAGACGCTGAGTCGGCATCAAGCGAAAAGAGCGAGAAGAGCGAAAAGAGCTCAAAATCTTCGTCATCCTCAGAACTCCGAGTTGATGTTAATCCGTCTCACAAGACGAACTCTGCACCTGCAGCGTCAGAGGAGAAGAAAGAATCTCCCACGGAAGAGATCACAGAGAAACTTGAGAAGGTCAAACTTGACCAACCAAGGCCTGAAACAGAATATGTTCAGAGCTCAGACGAAGAGCCAAGAAAACCAAAATCTCCTAAAAAGGAGAAGGAAAAATTCCTAGTTCTCTTCGATCCTGAAACAGAAACCTATTATCGAGTCAACAGAAGCAAGCTCAACCTCGAATACGAGGAGCCTGCTGATGAGGAAGACCTCGTAAGAGAACATGAGCGCATCAGCGCTCGAATTCGAGAAAATACCAAGCACCGAATCTCGAAGTCACCGTCTAACCCGGCTATGCAACAGGAAATGCAAGAGAGAATCTGGGTTAGTCGATGGAATCGAAAAATCCGAAGTCCACTCATGATCAAAGATTCTGAGGCTCCTGACGAAGAGGAGTGGGACAGACCTAGAGAGTCGGCATCTTCCTCCTCTGCACCTCCTAACAAGGAGAGATTTGTAGGAGTACGCAGGACAGCCATGAGCCTTAACCAAAGGATACGAATGTTGCCTCGACCAGACAATCCTCTCTGCGATCTCTGCAAACAGCCTACAGGCTATTTTTGCTATTCCTGTGGAACGATTGTATGTGCAGACTGTCGACTTACCCCACAGGGTAAACAACGGATGTGCGAGTGCGTCTTGCCAATCGATTGCCTTGAGACCTCCAAAGTGAGAGCAGGAATGACCTCAGAAGAGCGTCAGTTTTTATACGAGGCCATCCTCACACATGAGGACGTAGATTTGGCAGTCCAGAAAATCAACATGTATTGCGAACACGCAAGAAGTCTGTTCGAAAAGGACCATCCAGGCGTTGATCCATGCAGCCTTGATGATATTAGGAACAATCCTCCGAATACGTATGACAGCTCCACAGAGGCTCCAACCCTGGAGGAATATAAGAGCATTAACAAGAGTCACATCAATATCAAGGACTCTAGAACAAGCCATCCGGCTTCTTTTCTCTCTCTTACTGGCTACGAAGACAAACTGGTGCTCGACGCACATTACGAGATAGTTCGCAATAGGATGGCCGGTGTTAATGAGAAGAGAGAATACATTGAAGGCTCAAACCCAGACAGCGTATCGCTAAACCTAGTGGTATTCAACTGGGGAAATATGGATCGAGCGCCGGTGCCCGCAGGGAATCCCAAAAAGAAGCTCAAACCTGAGAAGGGATTCGATTATCACCCTCTTATTGACATGTGCTTCAACAATTCAGCTCATATTACCCTCGTACTCGAGGCAGGAGCACTTGCGTCAGAGTATTCGATCGCAACCATGCGACAACATGAATACAGGGGGATGCTAATCCATTCTCCTCCCAAGGAGCCTGAGGCACCCTCAATGTATATTGGAGTCAAGGGTGACCCAACAACAGACATCGCTCTCGTCCACCACTTTTATCGTCATCGAACAATGAAACCTAAGAATGGTGGTCCCAAGAAGCGACTGTGGGCATGCCACGGTGCGGTATGCCGCCTCACCTTTGGGTACCACAGTACCATACCAGAGGCAAAAGAATGGGTCCACCCATATTCTGGCCAAAGGATGACGAGAGACGAGTTCATGCAGATTATCGGATATGACCCACTCAAGGGCAAAAATCCTGACAAGGATGGACCCACTGATGGCTCTTACCTCTCACCAGAGGCGTGCCTGACACTGTCGAACCTCGACCCCTCGCCGATTCTCTGTGAATGGAACGGCCATGTCGAGGGTGATGAGCCACCAGAGGAAGACTTTGAGTCATACGCAGAGATCTTCTCACAAGAAGCATCGAACGATCTTGACGAGATGTGGTGTACAAAAGGGCCTTACAAGGTCATCACCATCGCGATCGTCCATTTCAACTCATTCATGACTCATAAGGAAGAACAGAGACGCGAACTGGTGAACGCGTTCCTCAACGAGATTCTCCCTTTTAAACCGGATGTAATAGCGGGAGATCTCAATAATATTGCGTCGAGGCTCACCTTAAAAGGTGGAGACGTTCACCCGCGAAACAGTTTGTTTTCTCTATACCTGGAGAAGAAACTTGCAGCATTCAACAAAATAGCAGGAAGGCACTCACAAGTGCGACATCTTTGCTTGAACAACTCCGACCAGCACAGACTGGCACGTGCAGATCGTCTACCGGCGGACCCGGCGAAGAAAGTTGCTGACCTTGACTGTATCAACAGTTATATCCTTGACTGGAGTAAAACGCCGCACACGGCGTCACCTAGTCCAAGAGAGGTCACACCTGCCGCCGAAAGAACATACTGGGAGCGAATCTCAGATATGTGGCAGGACATGAACAACAACAGGGATATTGATATCCGTCTGTTTGTCTCAGTCAAGCAGTACTATTCAACTTTTTCTAACCTTGACCTATGGTTGAGTCCCTCTGACAAAGATTGGCACAGCCCTTTGGGCTTCACGATACAACCAATCCTTACAAAAGGGAAACACAACCGGTCAGATGCCCAGGTCCAAAAGATCGCTGACAAGCGAAAGGCTTACAAGCAGCGTAATGCTGAATACTGGGGTTACAACGATTCATTCGTTTACTCATCCGGCAACAGCTGGTACGACAAATCGCAACCATCAGGTAGCCATCACAGATATGGAAGATTCTGGGAGTGGCCACAGCCTGAACGTCCCAGCGAGCCTGAAGGTCCTCCTCCAAGAAGGAACCAGGAATCATCGTCCTCTTCACAACAAGATCTACCAAGATCAAGGTCCAGGCCTCAAAGAACCAATATTGTTGACAAGCTCAACATGTCTTTGGAAGAGCTGGATGGACTAGAAGAAGAACCGTCACCAACAAAAAGTGACATCGAAGAACACGAAAGAGAAACATCAAACTTGATGTCTGCTCAGAGAGATGAAGAGGAACAAGAGGACGAATCCTCCAGCCGGAGAAGAAGAAGGAAGGCATCGCGTCCACCGTCTGCTCCGAGCGGCAAGGCACTCAGAACAGCTGCTACAGCAGCGGGGTTGTCGGGCTGGTTCGGACACCGCAACCGAGGTGGAGCGAACGCAGAGTCTACCAAGACTGATGAAACTTCACTTCCAAACTCACTAACCAGTGAGCAGGACTTCTCCGTCTTCAGCATCGCGTGGAATGTGTTCTTGCTGCTAATGGGCTTACACTGGATGTGGAAGCAGATTACCAGGCCTCCTATCAGATGTATGGAGCGCCAACAACCAAAATCAAAAGCAGCAGCGAACCAAAGAGTTCCATTCCTCGAACCCGAGGATGAACCGCAGACGCGTGAACCTTTAGGACCCAACAGGGTCAATTCCGGAGAAACAACTGATCTGCGACCTATCTGGCATACTTCCCGAAGCGAAGTCTACCATCTCTCAGACAGCTGTTACCAGCTCAAGCAAGCAAGAGATGTTTGCAAGAAGGTGCTGTGCAAAAACTGCCTCCATGCAGTACAAGTTGCGGAGATTCGCAGGAACGATCCTTTCCAAAGAGGTGATACACGACCACGTGGCACCGAAAGAGACATTGAGCGCTTCCAGACCTACGATGATGCAAGTAACACTCCTCATATGACACAATTATTCAAGGATGCCTTGCATGCACAAATGGCCGAAGAAGCCATGCAGATTACCTACACATCGATCCCCAAGGGATCCTCGGCAAAGGCCAGAGGTACATCTGCACTCTCAAGTGCCGCATCGTCATCAGCGCCCAAGGCAATGCCACCAGGGCCTAACAAGGCAAACATATCACCTCCACCTAAGAGTCCTCCGCCAAAGGCGAAAGGAACAGTACCTTCTGATCCTCCAAGACCAAAAGGTCCTACCAGAAGAGGAGGTCAAAATCGGCGCATTCAACGAAAGGCAGCTAGAGAAGCCCACAACAGTGGACTCTGCACCTATGCAGACGCTGCACTTAACGAAGCCAATCAAGGCCAGGCAATTAACGTTACGTGCCGAAACATGGCAGCAAGACACGTCAGCTCTATCGATGCAACGGTAGAAGCAGCCGGCCAGTTTACACAACGCGTGCTACAGCACGTAGAAACATATGATGAAGAGGAACCGTGGAGCACGGAGTTCCTACCAGTCGTGGAAGTCCTATTCAGGAACTTAAGCGGCGACGAAACAACTGTCATACATGACAATCAAACGGTAACTATGCCTCTTGCGAAATACACAGACCTCCTCAGAATCGCACAATCATTGCGAAGCTCTATCCAGAGAGACAAGGAGGAAAGGAAGGAACATCTTGACACCATCCAAGATACTCTATCCAGAGTGGAAATCCTTCTAACAGCACTGAAGGACTCAAGGACAGTCTTTAACCAATTGGTCCATTCCTCACTAGAGATAGAGCGAAGAAATAACAATCTCAAAAATGTCCTCGAGACACTCTTTGACGACCAAAGCTCTGAGGAAGACCAGTCAGAATCTGACAATGAAGAAGTCCTAACTCCTTCTGCAGCACAGTACTGGAATAGCCTTTATGCCCACGCCTTATCTCCTTCAGGAGATGAAAGTGAAAGATCATGGGCGTCCTCAGACGGACAGCTTGAAAGAAGAAGGGCTGAACGGGCAAAGGCTAAGCAGCCGCAACCGGCAAAAGCCAAGGCAACTCCAGCCAGCTCACAAGCTGCTCCAAAGGCCGAGCCAAAGGCGACAACATCCAACCATGGATATGATACTGCAGACGCCGCCTTCACCAGGGCTGAGAACAGATTACTCGGAATCTTTTCAAGTTCCGAAGAAGATCACTCAGACCCGGATGAGCCACATCCGAACGTCTATGCTCGAGCCTATGATCCAAACCTGGATCCGAATCTGAGATAAGAAAATTCTCAGAGTTTCACAACAGTGAATCACAAGGCTCTAACAAGAGCACAATGAAGGGCTGCATAATTCGGTAGAAGAACATTACCAGACCTGATCCTGTACAGATGATCTCTCTGACCAACATGCATGAGTGTGTGCAAAAGGAGTGACCTCAACAGTGTACTTCAGTGCTATACCTAGCATAAACAATATGCTGTTTTTATCATGAGTCCAAACTCCGCAACTGTGACAGTGGGCATAACAGTATATGTGTGAATGTGCGGCCATGCTTCCGGTAAAAGAAAATTAGTGTCTGTTTGAAACCATAAACCTCTAAAGGGGTAGCTCTAACAGGTACCTACAGCAATGGCTGCATGCTCATACATATACATTCCGCTGCCCATTGGCTCACAGTGGTTTTACCATATTGAGACAAGACAAGCTCTCCTTGCGTAGCAAGACAAAACAACTACTGTCCGTGTGCAGGGCGCTGCCCTTTGATCCTTAGGGAATAACTGGTCATACACCTCCTCACAAGGAGTATCCCTTGGGGGTGTATCGGCATTCACCCCCCCCCCCCCTGTGGTTCCTCTTGGTTTTCCCCCTCCCTTTTGTGGTTCTTCTGGTTCCTGTCTCCCCCCTCCCCCCCTGTGGTTCCTGTGGTTCCTCCGCGTGGTTGCTGCTGCTTTGTTGTTGCTGCTGTTCTTCTTCTTGTTCTTGTTCTTGTTCTTGTTGTGTGGTCGCCCGGGTCGGGGGGGGGGGGGGATACCATTGGGGGGGGGGGGGGGGGGGGGTCGAGAACGCGGAGCGCGGGCACATATATATGTATAGGCCTCCTTCATTGAAACTCCCATACCAGGACCTTAATAGCGATGATGGGCGGCAAAAATAGCGACGATCCGAAGTCTTGACACTCGACGCACCTTACCTGATCCAGGCTCAGACGCTCTCGGTGCGGGACATCGTGGACACAGTGCTGTGGTTGGAAGGATAGACAGAATGCAGTCCACTGTAGCGCAGCATGGTACAGCCGCGTTTGACGGCAAGGAAAGACCCCAAATTGAGACAAATTGAGGTTCCTAAATTCGAAACCTTGAAACTACAGCATCAACCGACGAGTCGTGAGAAACAGATGCAAACCATCGATTCTAAGGAATCTGACCATAAATGCGCTGTGCGAACCTCATCGAGCCCTCCCGAAGTTTAGACCCTGAAGCCTAGCAATCCCCAAACTCACCCGAAGCTCGACATGCGCTCCCTCCGCCCCAGCAGAGGTTAAGGGCCATTCCCACGGCCCTCGCCGAGGACTCTTGTGGAAGCAGGGGGTTACGGGGTTTTTGGTTTTCTGGTTTTGGTGGTATAGTAAACTTCTCCTGCAACAAGCTATAAGCCGGCACCTCCTTCAGTTGGAGCTGCATGCTTGAAGGCAGCCCGTTTTACTCCTGCGTCCTAACCCCTCGCAACAGGCTGAAAGATATTCCTACTCTCCTCCTCGAGGAGTGCGTGTAGTCTTAGACGGACGCGCAGAGTCGGCGTTTCTTCCAACCCCTCTGCGTCCGAAGCAGGCCACAACACTCGCAAAATTGAAGGGTTGGGTGCAGACTTCCGTACAAAATGGAAGACTTTTCGGAAGGATTGTGAATAGGATACATGCCGTCGGCAATACCGCTTCCATGACAATGAGTAGATGTGCAAGCCGAGATCCAGAAGTCTCAAGCCCGATGACTCTTGCCCTGAGATTGACCGCAGGCTGTTGCCTGCCGTGTCGTGTTCGTATGTGCCTTACGAAGGGACATGGAAACTCTGAGCTACTCCAGCAAGACCTCGTCCCGGTTGAGCCTTTTAGCTCGAATCCCCTAGTTGGGCTTCACCGCCTTTTTTCAGAGCGACAGCTGCCTCCTTGCAGGGCATCGATAGCGACATCGTGCCACAGCCTTGGGGGGCTCACCGACTTGCGAATGGTTGTGCGGATGTCCTGGGCCTCGAACACATAAATGGTTTTGAGGTGAGTAAGCATCCAATCATCGCAAGGCGTTGCAAAAAGGAATGAAGGCACTCTCCTGCTCATCCTCGGCCTCATGATTGAGTTGGAAGTCCTACGTCCATGGCAATCCCTGGCATTGGGTTTGGCTCCTCTTTTTGCAGAAATCGCTCTCCCGCGTTCCAAGCACCCCTGCATATCCAAGCTCAACCTTTCGCGAGGCTTCCAACACAGCATCGGTACACAGTCCCGACATCTAGCCAGATTGTGGAAAGTTTGCGATCGATGCTCGTATAAAGCCCCAGCTGCTGCAATGTAGTGCATCAGACGTCAAGATGCCCTGATCCCCGGCACCTAACCTTTGCCTTGCCTGCACTGAGTGCTCATGGGTTCATCCTTTTCGCAGGGGCTCGGAAGCGGTGAATGCAGCGCCCAGCTCCACATTGAGACAGGGATTGAGGGCGTGGTTGGCGAATTTGCTCTTTCGGAGGGCTCGTGAGGTGCAGGCTCTTTGTGGGTTAGGATCAAGGGGGTGCGGGATGCTGAGGAACAGAGTGAGCATTCATGGTTGTGGGAAAACAGTATGAGGTTTAAGCTGAGGAGTCCGAGCGTGCACCCCTAGAGCTTTGAGAATATTACAGAATTAAAGGCGATCTGATGAATCCTACGAGCCTCTTGTCTTCTCCACACGTGCCCTCTTCCCCGGAAATTTCAGGTGGCTGTGTCCGAGGTGCGAGAGCCTATGATCACCAGATCTCGCAAATTTGGTTTCTCGGATCCGGCCGATAAGCATGTAGTATACACTCAACCTAGTTACCTAGTTCCGTTAGGGGGCCAAAACCAGTCAGCTGCATGTGAACATCCATTTCCGAAACTTCCAGTCTCAAAACTAAAACCGCTGAACGTCGAACCTACTTCTGCAGACGCCAGGCTAGTCCGAGAGTGAGTGTGAAAAAATCGCTGAACCCGCACACTCCCTAGGCTTGCTTGCACCCTGTCTCAGTTCACTTCCCGCCGATGACCCTTGAGCAAAACCTCGAAAGCCCCAGTTGAGCAACCTGTATAGGGAGACCTCAGAGCCGTGCCTGCTGAGTGCGAGTGAGCGAGTCGAAACCCTAGTTGAACACGTCATTTCCCATTGAAGTTTCGTTCGTACCTAGCAGCTGGTTCGCAGCAGTGTGGGATTGTAGCACACAACCCAGCCATCAAAAGTGATAGCCTCAAAGCCCTAAACCCTTGTCCGAGTGTCGGCGCTCAAACCCTAATTGCACCCTCAATGAACGACTCCAAGGACATGACCCTCGATCCGGAGGTTCGTGCCGTTGGCGGCCCCTTGGGCTTCCATTTGGGCGTAGAAGCATGGCTGTTCTGTTGTTGTTGGTAGGTCTGGTGGCTGACGGTCGGAATTTGGGTATCATTTTTCGTGGTCTTGGTTTGAGCAAGGATTGCAGCGAGTGCACTTGGGCAGAAGTTGCTTTCAGATGTCTAGTTGGATGCTACGGCTTAACGGCAATGAAGACTGGCGAAGATGAGTGTTTAATGTTATCAGCCAGCCCACCTCCTGAGGGCGTGAATACACAGAGAAGAGTTCTGGACTTTGTGTCCAAACAGTATCACTAATGACCAATGCCTGAGCTGCCGCCACTTCTCGTCGGAGGCCCATAGGATGGGCAGAAACCCTGCACTCCAAGCCGCAACAGAATGAGTGCCTCAAGCTAGCATCCCTATGGCCAGGTTGGAGAGGACCGATCGCTGTTGCGCGGCAATCTCCGGAATCTTGGCATCAATGTCATCATACAGCCGCCACTATCACCGCAATGGTCGGTATAAATGGAACAGAAACTTCAATACTCCCCCCCTGATGCCCATGCATAGCGATGTCGTAATCCGATGGTCGAGGGTCAGCTCGTTTTTTTCGGCAGCATCGCTTTCACCATCAAGCCCCGCAAGAAGAGTCGTCTCGTGACTGCATGATGATGATGCTGATGCGTCTGTGTCGAATACAGGTGGGGTCGCTGTGAATGCTCCACGAAAGCCGGGGCTGCTCTTGGAAGTTCTCCCCGTGGCCCTGCATTATAAGTCGCTTCCACTTTGCACCAAGCTTTACGGTTGGACGCGCATATTCTGGCTGAAGGCTATGGCGACCCCAGATGCAAGAGCCCTCAACCCTGAGTGAGTGCGCAAGCTGTGGCCTTCAGGAGTACGAGGCCGCCATGGAGGCCGTCTGGAACTATGTTGGGGTTGGGTTTGCGGGTTGAGCCGAGGCTGAGACCAAGCCTGCAACAAGGACCGGAGCCCAAACACTCAACTGACTCAACTCTGAACCTCACCTGTTTTGGGCCAGGTCGTCGCGGCAGCGATGGATCTTGCGCAAGAGGAAAGCACCCGACGCTCGTTCGAATTGAAGGTCGCCGCGCCTTGATCTCCAAGGTTGATGTCCTTGGCTTTGCACGTGTCGGGTGGCTTCAGGTTTCTCGATTTCCGAAAGTCATTCAACCATGCCATCCGAAGCATTAGCCGAATCAATTCGCCCTCTGAGGTGAGGATGTGCTCGACCGCTACTGGCTCCTGAACGGGGCAGCTTTGGAGAAGCTGCTAGGCAAGGGCGAATCACAACAGGCCTGCTGGCCAGGGTTTAGTCTTCACGGTGCCAATGATGCTTGGGCCGAATTTGGCCCCATGGATCAGCCCAGGAAACACGGGCTTGTACGGTCCAAGCCATGCCATCAGTGCGAGCGCCTCCTCAACATTCCACCGGATAGGATTCAGAGCAGAAGAGTTCATTTAAGTGTGTTCCAGCTGAGGCTGCACCTGAAACTTCCTCGAAATTTCCCGGAAGCCCTACAATGTCCGAAACTATTTAATTACATGAACCGTCCTCCCGGACATCCGGCTCAGGCGGACAAGATCTGCCTGCTGGCGAAGGCCAGCTACAGTTTTTTGAGTGCTGAAGGCTTGCGCTGCTGGCGGTTTAGTCGTAACCAGGACAGTCTGCATTGATTGAGGATTTCATTGGGAATCGTTTCGCCTGCTCCTGCGGTTGGTTGAGAATAGTGCTGACGATGATGTGGTTACGCCGTGGCTGTGCTACCTGAGAGGCTGCTGACGGCATGGAGATGATGATGATGGTGGCGATGCTGGTAATGATAATCGTGGCGTGGTGGTAATGAAGTGGGGAGGAGAAGTAGGAGGTGCTGGTAAATCTTGGCTTGCAACAGTTCTGCAGAAGTGGCTCCTGAGAAGAGGCTTGCAGCCGCCAATGCTCTTCTTATCCCAGTCTCGTTCGAGTGCGAGCACCAGCGAAGGCCGTCAGGGGAGCACCGGACAGTGGGATTTCAGGCTTCCAGTCCCGCAAGTTGTGAAGAGTTTGAAGAGATGTGTTGCTAGCTGTGGAAGCGTTGCACAGCGTCTGCGGGCAGATGTTTTGAAGATCACTCCTCGATACTGGCTGGCGGAAGCATGTGGCCTGGCAGGGTTCCAGGAATCAAGATCTGCCCGCACCACTGGTAAACGCATTTGCTCACATCCATTTCCTTTGGGCCATCCTATGCGTGGTGCTTGTTCTCGCAGGTATTCGGGGACATCCACGGTCAGCTGCGCGATTTGCTGCTCCTGTTCGGTCTCTTTGGAGTCCTGGATATAAAAAGGCTTGACTCGGCTTGACAGTCTTCAGTGTGGAGTGGCAAGACCCGAGCATAGCGAAGCATAAGTGGCAGTGCATCCAAGCCTTCAGAAAAGAGTCCGACAAGCATGGCTTAAGCATAGCAAGCGCGGGGTGGCAAGGCAAGAAGGTGACTAGCTGTAGAGGAAAATCAGCTCGATGTGCTGGACTGCGACAAACATTATTGCAAATCAATCCGACATAAGGCTTGTCTTAGAAAAGAAGAGTATGTACTTTCCAGGCTCCATTCTCGATAGTCGACAGATCAGTACTTGTTCCTGCCGACATGCGGCCAACTCACTCCTGTGCGACAAAAGAGCCTGGTGGAAATGTTGGGTCCTGGATCCTTTCCAGAGGTTTCAGAAATTGGAGGCCCGAACATTTGGTTGATGGCTTGGAGACACTGTATACACATGCCTGGACGTCTATGTGTCCAAGGAAAGCCCTACCACTGTGCCTTCGTCGCACATGTCGCCCAGGACTACGAAGTTGAGAGCAGGGACGGTTAGCGGGCTCTCGGGGCTTTGAGGTTCAGGAGGCCACGGTGCGGGCGATAGCATGGCAGTTCAGCATAATAGTGCAGCTCGTCCAATTATGTCCAATTCTAAGTGCTGCCCCGACGAGTCCTTTGGCCATAGAAATGGCAGTTCCTGTTCTTGCCTGCCCTCTGGGTTTCGCAAGACACATGCTGCTGTGCCAAGGTGGTGGGGACATCCAAACTATGTCTTACGCCGCTGGGGCTGCGCCAACATGCTTTCGCTCGTTTCGCTGCGACAGGATCTCGTGCAAGCTTGCTTGATTCGCAGCTACACAAGAGGCGCACGTAGAGCGGCATACAGCGGCTGCTTTGATGCTAGCAGGATGTGGAGTCCGAAACGAGCTCAGAGTAACATCAAGCTTCATGCCCCCTCGCCTGAAGCCAAAGGTCTTCAACGGAGACTGGGTGGATCGAGGCGAGCATCAGTCAGGGCCTCTGCTCCCAGGCCACGGGTTCTTTCAGGCGAAAGCTTCCGACTGGGCTGATTCTGAAATCTCGAAGAATGAGAGACGAAGCTTGCCACCCCGAAACAGCCCGATGCAACCAAGGCTGGAAGTTGTGACCCTGCTCTTCGCACTGCATGTGCTGTACCCGCAGCAGGTCGGCCGAAGGGTGCGAGCTTCCCGATGCCAAGGGTCTGCGGAATGCGCCGACCTGCAGCCTCCTCAATACCGGCATTTCCCCGAAGCCTAAACCCTTATGAACTTCTGGGCTTGCAGACAGATCGCAGCGCAACTTTAGACAGCGCCTCGTCAGGTGTACCTGGTTCGTGGGAACCACGAGTTCCGCGACATGAGCGAGAACATGGGAGAGCTGGGCTTCCTGCCGCTCGGCTGCTTGCTGCTCCCAGGTCCCACCAGGCCCGAGGTCCCTATATAGACCCTTTCGAACACTGTGGGGGGGCCCCCCCGCTTTCCAGGCATCACTGCCAGCAGAGGATGAAGAAGCGCTGGAGACTCGCTGCTTGACGCTGGAGTTCGACTCGGGGGCATGGTTTGGACGTAGATGTTCAGAGGCATCCGATTATGGCACGTGACCAGAATCGGCCGTTGATCCGAGAACCTTAATTACCCTGACGGTGGTTCTGTTGCCGTTGCACATTAAGGCAAGGCTCGGTATTTCGTGATAGCTGAAAGAGTTCTCGCGCAATTGACGATTGCTCTCTTTTCGAGTTCTGCACTATGTGACTGTCGATACCGCGAGCCTTGAATACGTCCCAGTGTGCGAGTGTCTAACAGGCGGTGTTTGCAGCGAACAAACCTGAAACTCTGAAACCTTGATGGCTGGCTCAAGTTTTCAGGTGAGCAGCGAGAGCAATATTTCGCATTCCTTTTCTTCATTGTGCATTGCCATGATGTCCCTCTTCTCGGCTCCGGAGACTGAGGTGGAGCTGCCTGCCTTGTTGGGTCGTACTCTCACACGCACCCGCACAGAGAAGGAAAAGGAGGAAGATCCGATTCAGCAGGCCACCATGAAGCTCTGTTATGCGGCGGCTGCGGGCGACTGCCTCAAGGTCAAGACCCTTTTAAGTCAAAACCTTGATCCCAATGCTGCGGACTATTCAGGCAAGACCCCGCTTCATGTTGCCTGTGGCATGAACACAGCAGGTGCGCAGGAGGTTGTCCGCATACTGCTGGAGCACGGATCAGAAGCCAATGCCACAGACGGCCTTGGCCAAACCCCTTTGGACATCTCATCGCGAGCTGGGAACCTCGCCGTGCGGGCAGTGCTGGAAGAGCACGGAGCCAAGCCGCAGCGCAAAGAGCTCGAGTCACGTGCCCGGGAGAGCTTTTGGCTCCTCAAGCCAGAAGATATCGTACTCAAGAAACAAATCGGCAAAACCCTGAAGAGTGCCGTGCACTTGGCAAACTGGCAGGGCTCCATTGTGGTTGTGAAGTGTGCCAAGATGCATCAGTCAGACATGGTCAGCAACTTGCGAAAGTCGCAGAGCATGGTGTTCGGCGGCGGAGTCGAGAAGGCATCGCCGAAGCGAGCGGAGGACGTCGAGCTCGAAGAAGACATCACAGAAGAGATGTTGCACGAGATTGACCTTCTGGGCTCTCTTCGTCACCCGGATCTTGTGCTATTCTTGGGTGCTTGCTTGGACCCAGGTCATCCCATCATGTTTGTAACTGAGTTCATGGGAGGAGGTGACCTGGAAAACTACATGCGCAAGATGCGAGAGAAGCGGCAAGCCGCCACCTGGAGCCCTCCCTTATGGCGTATGCTCGAATGGTCGTGCGCCATCGGCCGTGGCTTGGCTTTTCTGCATGGCTTTCGAGTGCCCATTGTGCACCGAGATCTCAAGCCACTCAACTTGCTCCTGACAAAAAACCTGGACATCAAGATGACAGATTTTGGGATCAGCAAGATGATGTCCACTGTTGATTCCGAACACCACACGATGACAGGCGGCGTTGGAAGCTACCTGTACATGGCTCCAGAAGTCGTCAGGTACGAGGAGTACAATGAGAAGGTCGATATCTACTCCTATAGCTTGATCATGTACTACATCAGCTCCGGCCGTCAACCTTTCCACCACATCACGAGGGATCCGGAGGTGATCCTGCGCATGTACTGCAAGAAGAAGGAGCCGCGTCCTCTCATTTCTGACTGCCCCAAGGTTTTGCGAGGCATCATCGAGCAGTGTTGGCACGTGGACAAGCATGACCGACCTTCAGCTGAGGAGATCACTAACAGGTTGTCCGAAATAGCACCAGCACGAGGTGCCTCCTGCGAATCTTGCTCTACCATGTGAGATTTCGCTCCAATCTCCGGTGCACGACCTTCAAATTCAGCTAGCTCATGTGTCAAAGTATCTGTGCGCTGCAGCCACTGGCTGTGAATTTCGTTCTGCATGTCGGCGTTGTTCTTTCTGAAAGCTCAGAAAGCTTTATGTGATGCCGTGGTCAGCCACCCGCAGCTGCCAGGGGTTCAATGGCCGGCCCGATGTACCTTTAATACCGATGCTTTAGGTAATGTGCGTTGATCGTCCTTGCTCCGGAAGATTTTCCACGTGGAAGCACTTGTGGCACGAGTGTGTTTCTGGCAGCGTGTGTATCGGGACATGTTGGGTAGTTGCACATGCGTGTGTTGATATGTTCCGTGCAAGGAGCGTGAATAGCTGGAAGCGCAATCCTCGGCCAGCACGGCAATTTTGAACAAGTGCTGGACCTGGCTCGAGGGCAATGTCTCTCAAAGTTCGTCCATGTGGATTCTCTGAAGAGTGTCGGCATGCGGCCCAGGCCTTGCGCAGCAGGAGTCCAGCCTATTAACGCGGTGGATGAAGCTGTTACATGCCTCCGCTGGACTTGTGGTTGACAACTACTCTGCCACAGAGAATAGGTAGGAGGGCAAAGGCCCGGGCTCAGCGCATCAGCGGCACCTTTCAGCTTAGGCTTGCTGCATGAAAGAAAGCAGATCGATGCCCCGATGATATACGCAGATGCAAGCTATATGGAGTGTGCTTGACGTCCTGCTTTTCAGTTGCAAAGCTGGGAATGCAGGCATAACCTGCTGCTGCAGGGGTTCCTGCTACCCGGATGCTCCGCGAGAGGACCCTGTCTTACAGTGCTTATACGACGAAGCAGTCGGAGACACGTTCGTCGTCAGACATTGCTGAAGCCTGCTGCGCTGGCCTCGGCCTGCCGTGCGGGAGCAACATGCCATGTCTCCAAAGCGAGAACATGGGTTTAATTTTATATATAACTATAATAAAGCCAAAAAAAATAATTAGTACTAATATTGTCAGACCGCAAGCCGGAACCGCGTGAAGCCAAAAACCGGAGCCCTCCAACGCACGACCTCCACTCGAAACGTCAGGCTCCAACCACCCCCAAACAAAGGCAAAGAGCAACAACCAATACCTGAAGCTCCAGGTTTTTGAGGCCATCCACAGCGCGTTTGACTGGCTGCCCATCGGCGCGCTGGTTGGAGACAAGGCGCGGTGTTTCGAAGCAGTCGCAGTTCAAGATGTCGTGGAGTCTAGAAAGCCTGTTCGCCTGAAATCTGAGCCTCGCAGGACAACATACGTGAAAAGTCGGAAATTCTGCTTCGCAGGAGCGCACACACACACACACAAACAGACACACACATACACCTCGAAATCAGAAGATTCTTCGTTCGTTTCTGTGCGTTTGTGTCATGTTACAAAGCGTCTCATGAAGTATGAAGCATGCTGAGAACCTTGCTTTTGGAAGCCATGCTTGCAAGAAGACTTCTGCGATCCCAAACCCCTCTTCACAACCGCCCCGCCAATACGATGAGTCATTCTCAACACTCTTTGATTCTCAAAACCGAATGCTCATGCCTCTGCTTAACGGTAGGATGCCGTACGGTGCGAGGTTCTAGCAGAACAGTTGAGTTGTCGCTGTTGCAAAAGACGTGAGAGACTCTTAGATCCCTAGATGGAGGGATCGTAAACCTAGATAGCTAGATACGAGGATCCTTGTCGTGTGAAGACCGGTAAGCAATGCACCCCACATATCTGCTCGGAGCACCAGAGTTAACCCAAGGCGATTAGACTAACACTATCTGTATTCCTACAAGCCTAAATCCTGAACTGTAATCCGGCTTGTCTAAGCATGCCATGCGGGCTCGTGATTGCGAAGTAGGAGCCGACAGAACTGTAATCCGGCGCTGCACGAGGCCCTGGTGATCCACGGCGGATTGGGCCGGGGTCGAAGTGCGGGACAGGGAGCGGGTTGCGGTTTGGAGATGGCTTAGGAGTTGTCTTTCACTTGAAAGCATGTCCTCAGGAGAGGAGTTCTCTAGGTGCATGCCCCACCCTCGCCAGCCTGTTCTGCATCCCAGGTGATGGCAGCTGGGGCTTGCATGATCTGGAGCATGTGAAGCGACCCATGCAGGCAGTCGTAAGGAATGCGGTGGAATCGGGGCAGATAGTTGATAGATAGCCAAAAATTTCGGAAATTGCCGCTGGTAGCAATGACGACAACAAGGTTAGCTCTCTCCATTGTGTACTTGTGGGTAGCTCAGCAAGTAAGGGTTGTTTGCCACTCGAAAGACAAAATCACCCGTGGTTTGTTAAGCAATGGTTTTTTTGGGAGGCGCCGGTAGTGTTCGGTAAGTGGGGGAATTCGCACCGAGACGACCAAGTTGCTGGGAGAGGAGCTCAACCTCATCTGCTGAGCTTCAACCCCTACTCACGAAGCCGTGAGAAGTGGCTCGATGCACCGCCCTGTCCCAGACCCTTATGGACGACAATGCCCTCAATGCCCTCTGGTCGGATCCCAGCGCTGGGACCTCGGTGTTCAGACTTGGTTGTCGATATTCGGGTTAGGGGTTTCCTATTGAAGGTTCTATAGGTTTCCGATTATTAATGCTTCAGTGTTCCTGGCCATGTTGCTGGCATGCGACTCCCGTGGTAAGCTTCGGCTTAAAGTGGCTTCAAAAAAGGGTTCCTGGCAGAGGCTCTAGATTTGGTTTAGCTGGGGGAAGGGTGCCTTCGTGTCCATGATGTTTCACGCCGAGGACTCCGACCACTGTATGGCTCGCGGTGTCCATGCGAATGAGGACGTCGGCACTTCCAGGTTTTGGGGTTCCCGTTCGGGTTCTTCCCATTTCCACATGTTCGGGTGCTCTGCAGGGGCTTGAACCTAGAAGCGGTGCTTCTGGGATGAAGGCAGTTTGCGCTTCCATGATTGAAACCTTAAAGTCCTCAGGAGCGTGGAGAGGGTGCAGGGATTCACCAGTTCGGACCCGACGTGACGCAGCCCTGGCCTGAGCGGTTTGAAGCGTCTGGAATCTGAGGTCTATCGGCCTCGGGGATCCCTGGTCATGACAAAAGCGGGTTTTGAGGGTCCCTGCCAACATCCGCGCCCACCAAGGGCTTTCTGCCGGCGCGAGGGCATCAACCTTGTCATTCGCTCACATCAGTTTGTGAGGCAAGGCTTCAAGGCCTGGCACGCCCAATATGGATGCAGTGCTCAGGAGTCGTCATGCATTGACCTGAGCTCAGCAGTACACATAGACTCCACATAACATCTCGTGTCTGACAGGTGATGCATGGTGGTCACCTGATCACGCTCTTTTCTGCACGCCGCTTGGATGTGTCGGAGGCCAATAACCAAACCCCGGTCAGAATCTAAACATGCTTGAAAATCATGAAAAGTCGCGATCCCAGTCCCAGTCCCCAGCGCCGTTCCAGCATCCTTGCGTTGCCCCTAAGCCTCACGGCCGCTACTAGTACCACCATTTTCGAAATCTCACCATGGCAGCCATGACCAGTCGCATCACCATCATCATCACCACCTTTCACCGCAGGGGCAGCAGCAGCAGCAGCAGCAGCACGACCACCACCAGCACCACCGGCATCACGTCGCCATGAGTCGTCATCATCGTCATCATCATCATCACTAACACTGTCATCACCCGCATCGCTACTGGCAATCGGCATGTAAACTTCCTGCTCAACATCCTCATCATCACTACCACTATCACCGCCATTGTTATTACCGACTGAATCGGCTCAGGCCGTTCACTGTTACAGTACACTACGTCACCTTACGTACCATGTGCTCTGTACTTTCGAGACTAGTTTGCTTATGGCTAAACTGCTGCCGCACGAGGAAACTACCTTTGGGAGGATGGTGAGGCCTCGGAGAACGCTGCCCGGCCCATGGGGTTCGATGATTCAAGTTCACAGATGTTTACAGCGACTCCTCCTGGATCCGAAGCTACGTCAGCTAAGTGTGGTGTATCAGAGTCCTTCGGCATCACACCTTGTATCTGCTTTGCTGTCGTCGTGTGAGTTGTACGTTGCCTGCTTTGGGATCTTCGCGGGTTGGTTGAAGGTCGTAAAGATGGAGCAGAAAGAGTCCAGAGAGACATACGAAACCATACAAAATACACATGAACACGAGTTTCCCCAGATTTCTTGGGATTATAGGCGCTTTGGCGGGACAGGCGTCTATGTTCCCATGACCAGAGGAACCTTGGCCCAAAGACGATGACGATCATGTACAAGCACGCATGCGCACACGCACACACACGAACAAAAGAACGTAGGTCTGCATAGATGCATCCATATGTGTTTGCCTTGCAAACCACCTGTGTGTACTTCGCGCTTCCTCATAGTCTGAATATGTCAGGTAACAGAAATGATGTACGATAGGTGCCAAGGACCCACTCTACAGTGGATAACACAGTTGTGACCCTGGCGGTTTTTTACTTTTGGCTTCGGGAGTGGAGCCAGCGAGTTGTACGATCCCGGTCCTCACACAGAACGTCACCGAGAAGCACAAGCAGCGAAACGAATGCTCATGTCCGCGATGGGACCTCGGAGGCTCCACCCTGAGCCCTAACCTGCGCAAGAAGTTATTGCCAAGGATGCTGCAATGCTGCTCTTGGCGACTGACCTCAACGGGCACCTTCGCGTGCATCCGAAGCGCATTGCTTTCATGCCGAACCCTGGCCCTCCCAAGCCGAGCTGCTGGGCACGCAAAGAAGGCTCAGGGGCTTCAGGGTTTGGGACATCTGGCTTAGGAGTTTGCGGCTCTGCCTTGAGAAGCCTTTCTTGAGTATTGCTTTTTCCGCCCATTAGAAGCCGGAAGGCAGACACGCAGTGCATGCTTGTCCTTTTGAGGCTGGTGGGAGAAGACCATGCCGCTTGTTTGCATCGCTGAAACCTTCGCTTGATGACATGTTGGCGCCGGCTGGCCCTGTTGGAGCTTTGGTTTTGTAGGCGGGCTTTGGCAACGAGCACAGCTTCCGGACCTTCGTGAGCTTTAGGAAATGCCCTGATGCAGCTAGTTGGTCGATTCGTGGAGACCACAGACTTGCTATTTGGGTGGTGGTTTTTTGGTCCATGGTGCCTAGGCCAAAGGATGTCTACTCAAGTAGGCCGAAACCAACTTGAGGATCTACCATGTGCACCGATACGGGGGTTCATGGCTCTTGGAAGTGTCGCTGATGCAGAAGACCTCAGCTGCTTGCAAAGGACAAGCCCGAACAATGCTTACCTCCGGACTCTGGTGCGCTTCAAGAGCGCCTCCGTAAATCTAAGTTTCATGTCGCCCAAACTCCAGGCAGCATTTGGGAGCCGACATCCGAGTCGTCTCGAAGCCCCAGAATGTGCGTAGGCAGGAGGTTGGTAAATAAAGCCTTGAACTTTTCGGGCCCGTCATAATCATCATCATCGTACCTTCTTCGTCGTCACCATCATCGCCATCTGTAGCCGGTGAAGGATTCGTAGCGACTAGGTCGGACATCTCTGCCTGTTGGCACTTCATGGCGACCGGGCAGCGCCTCAACAAGAAGAGGAGGCAAGCGAGGGGTCGGACGGGGCCTTCAGGCTGGGGCCTTGGCCTTGAAGGGATTTTGTTCAGAGCTGCACTGCCACTCTCCGCATGCTCCTCCTGACTTAGGCTCAAAAACATGGTTCCGGGTCACGGATTTGAGTGCAGCAGCGGCTTTAGCTGTAGCAATCGCAGCAGCAGCCGCAGTAGGAGTAGTAGGCGTCGTATCCGTTCGAGCACTTTTAAAACAGCTGTCGTGGCAGGACAGATGACCAGATGAGCTTGATTGTTGGTCGTATGACGAGTCGCGGGTCTGCCCTCGTAACGTTTGCTTTGCAACCGACGATGTGTAGTATTACTGGCCCCTGCCCCACTTCAGGGTGTCGGTGAGAGGATCCGCTGGCGCCGCGAACGCCGCACAGCTGATGATTGTTGATGCTACCCCTTATAGCGGGGGTGAAGACGCTGAGTCTGATAAGCCATCTGCAAGAACTGTTGCAAGTGCATTTTAACTCGGAGCCTGAAAAGCTGCCATGCCTGGCATTGGCATGGGATGGTGGATGTAGGGTTGGGTATGGACCCGAATGTGCGAAGCTGTTGCCATTAAGACTACACTGTGTGTGGGCTCAGATGCCTTCAAGGGTTAGAAACGGTTCTTTCAGTGTGGATGGTTCTGTCAGGGCGAAAGCATCGGCTGGTACATACGGGTTTGGCAGTTGTGGCTGGCTGATTACATCGGCTAGAACACAATGTAGTTGACCGAAGCTGTTCCTTGCAACTGGCTTCCAGAGCAGTACATGCAGGGGATGTATGTAACATACGGTTCCCCCTAGGTTGTAGATGAGAAGCTGCGATGCGTTCGAGATGCATGTGGAATGGAGAACTGTTTCGAGAGATCCCAACTCGAGGCACTGTTTCCGCGTCAGAAAACATTGAAAGGAGTTCGGTTTCAACCGATGTTTGTCAGAAGATGGTTGGTGCTGCAGTGCCGTTTTTGTTGATTCGTCTTTGAAGGAGGGGTGGCCAACCGTTGTGGTTGTGCTGTTGGAGACTTTCTGCGCAAAGAATCGTGCTACCGGGGACGTACACGAATGCATTGGCTTGCCTTCATCCGAAGTCTCCCAAACGTGCCGCGAACAACAAAGCTGAGACCGGAACCTTCCGCACCAGTTTTCCAACCAAGGTGAAATTCATGCGACAGGTGTCGTAACAGGCCGGGAGCGTCTGCCGGCTTGACAGCACCACAACTCTGAGTCAACCCTCCCGAGCAGTTAGAGCACCCTTGCTGAGCCATGGTAGTTCCTGCCTGAATCCGTGGCACAATTGCTTGGCTTAAGAACCTGAGGACCACTTGGGGAGTGCAGCTTAGACCGCCAGAGATCATGTCGGATTAGGCTAGGCCTGTTGGGGTGTTCGCCTTCAGGTCTTGGATCTTGCGGTTTAGCTCTCGTTGTCCAGTTTCTTGCGACTGCCAGTCCCAGCTTGCCGGCCGAAAGGTCAGCACGAGAGCTTCCAAGCTGAGTTCCTGGAGCTTCCCCAAGTTGCAGGTGTAAGCCAAGCTTTGAACCCTGCCCCCGACCCGATCCTGCAACACGAATCCATCCATATCTCGCAGAGAAGTCCTCACAAGCCCAAACCTCCAAAGCTTGAAGATGCCAAAAGTGCTGATTTTTATCCGAGATCAAGGCATGGAGCTTAAGATTTTACATTCCTGGTGCAGCCAAGATATACACAATTTTCGTGTCTCACTATCGATTTCAAGACATCTCTGCTGCCTGTGGCTTCAGCTTCTTCAAGTTCCCATCGTCAGCATTGTGGTTGCAGGGCTTAGCACTGGTGGTAACTGAAGTCTCCGGTTAAGGTTTGAGCTTTCAGACACTTTTTGCGACTGCTGGCTTGAAGCAAGGTCCGTGTATCCTAAGTTCTCTGCCATGCAACAAGGACGCCCTGTTTACATGGATGTCCAGTCATCGGACTCAGCATTGGTGCACTAAACCGTGCCAGGGCAGACATCTCCACGAACTCCCCCTCCCCTAAAGCTGAGTATGCTCCTTGTGCGTGTATGTTTGTTCGGACCGATCGGCAGGTATTAATTGTGGTCAGGATAGGCACAGCTATACATGGCCCTGAAGCACTAGAGTCAGTCTAAGAGCATGCGTATCTCGAGCGAAGAATTAGCTGCGAAGTCGGTTCGTTCAGTGTTGTGCACTCCTCGCGCTCCAAAAATTGGCGTTGAAGCTGGGGCTAAACTCCGGCATCCCTGTCCTAGGAGTCCTTTCGGAAGTATCTCAGTACTCAGTACCCATATTGGGGGTCCACAGTTTTCACAACCACACACAATTCCCCACAGTAAACGTCTCATGCTTCAAGGCCGCAGGCAGACAAAGGCATGTTTAGGTAGGTGCCCGGACCCCAGAGTTGAGGCCTCTATCGTTGCTATCTCTTGTAGAACATCACGGCTTCAGGCCACAAAACGGTATAAGGTCTAACCCTTCCCTTTGGTAGTACTCCGGGGTCTGGGGCGACCTGCGAGTTAGCGGATCCATCCCGCCGCGTCTTTCGACACAAAAAGTGTCAGCACTGAGATCTTCAGTTTTGATGTTCGGGGTTTAAGGTCTTGGATATCGGATATCCTAGCTTAGTAGGCGTGAGGCCTCGCAGCCCTGGGTCCCTGAAGCAACTTATATAACAATTTGCTTCGGTAAACAGCTCAGGGCCTGGGGGCCTAATCCAACATTAGGCTTCCGGAGCGACTGCACGGAACTCTTCTTACAGGGTTGAAGGTAGGGAGTTTTAATTTTCCGAGTAGTTGCCAGGCTTGCAGCACCCGAAGGCTGTCTCTACCTACCCCGCAAGAGCTAAGGTCACGCACCTGGACAGGCCCGCGCCCAAAGCGTGCCAACTTACGTGCAGGAACAGTGCTTGTGCATAGCGGCATGATGGGTTTGCCGGCGCTGTCCTCATAAACGGTCGATCGTGGACAGACTTGTTCAAGACCTCGAAACCGAGACCTGTCCGCTTCCCAATAGTGGCCCGAAAGCCCTTTGAACTTCCACTGTGCACCTTGTAGGTTCTTGTAGCACACCGGAGCCACGAATCCAGGCATGGAGGAAGGATACACAGGAGAATCCTGGCGCAAAGGAGTTCTCTGGAGCTTTCCCAGGATGCAACATGTTCGCGTGAGGTCTGAAAGTGGCTCATCCCAGCCCTTCCAGATGTTCGGCCATGCCCTGGGCGTCGGGAGCTTTACGCTTGGGCCGGGATGGGAGGATTTGGAAGATTCCGACATGTCACAAGTTCGAGTTGCATAGCAGACTTAATGTCAGGGTCTGGACATTTCGGAATTTTCGATGAGTCGCACCCGCTCCGTGCAATCAGCGTGACCTCGTTTAGGCTTCAAGTAGGTCTGGGCTGACAACTGACGGTTCTTCAAACTGTGCACAAATGACTCATTAGCTGCATTTTGGAATCGTATCTGGCATCATCCTGGGCATCAAACTTCTTGTCACGCTGCTTCAGGTTCAGGGAATGTGGCTCTGTATCTTGCACCTTTGTACCTAGACTCAGACGGCCGACGGCCTCTAAGTACTCATAGTCATAGTTACTCCTTATTCACTTCTAGGGTCTGGCTAGGACCGGCTAGGAGTCACAAATTGCGGTTGTCGCTGCCATCCTTGCGTTGGTGTGATTACTTTGAGCCCTCCGAGCCTTCAACCTGAAGCCAGAAACCTGAGGTCATCACCTCCAGCTGTGGAACTTGCTTGGACGGGTCCTGTCCTCAAAGAAGCTGCTCCGCTGAGAATGAGCTAAGCGATTGCACTACAGCATCTCAAGCTACCTAGATGATACCCCTACTTTTTGTAGCATCTGGAAATCTGCGCTCTGCCATCGCCAGGCACTCTAGTTTCAACATGTGTCAGCGGTGAACGGCCAAGCAGTCTCCACACAGTCAAAAGAATGAAGATGATGGTTTTGTGCCAGCGCAGCCGCAGGAATCTCCCGAACACGACGCTGAAGTTTCGTACCGCAGGCAGCCGACGTTTCTTCAGAGCAGTGAATGTTTGATCCGTGTTTGATTATCTCCCGGTTCCCTCGAATCGCTAGAAGGCCAGAGTGCATCCGCCCGGGCTACGAAGAGCTGGACCGAAGCCCTTGCAAATCTATCAGGATCATCATGATGCATGCTTCTGGTTTCGGTGCGAAGCAGCTGCTCTCTCGCATCAGTACAAGCTAATGATCTTCCGAGCTAATGATCTTACACTTCCATCCCGGGGGTGGTGGCTGATGCTGATTACGCGCTGAACATATTCTTCAGTGCTGCCACCGTCCGATGTCGACAATGGAAGATCACTGTTTGCTGAGTAACTCGCCGGCCAAGCATCGTCTGAGTCATGAGTCCAAGCTTTCCAACCATAAGCGAAGCATCGGCTGTGATGTTCAAGTCCAGAGGCTAGCGGAGGCTCAACAGCGTCCTTCTTTCTGTTGACCAGTCGAGGCTCCTGAAATTCCCCTCCCGAGTCCCAGCCAGCCACATGGCGACGAAATGCGAGTGAAAGAGACGAAAGGCTCTGAATGAAGTCATTCCGAGTGTGAGTGGCCGAACAACATACCACGGGTCTGTGGCGCGGTGAGTCGTTGTCGTATGCGCTAGCCTGAAATGGGTGCGCATCACTTTACCGGTACGGTGTGAGTGTCGCAACATCGCTTGGACGTTAAACCTCTCTCACGCTCACATCAGATCAACACCCAATGCAGGCGAAACTTGCCTGGTCAGCTGGAAGGACGGACGCAGTGGGTGTGGGAGGCCGGCCATGCACTCATCCAGACTCCCCGGAGAGATCTGCATCTGCACTTGGATCAGAGTTCTGTTTGCTGGCAGTTTCACTGGATTTGAAGATGTCCGATCTCGCCGGCGCTAGGTCGCCGAAAGGCGGCTGGACATACTGGAATGATGCCCGGCGCCAAGCGGCGAGCAAGACAACAGTGAACCCATTTCGCGAAACCCGAGTACAGTGTCTTTACTGCCGGAACCCAAGCTGCTGCAATGCTTCCTAGTTTCCAATAGCCGTGCTGTCATGTTTGAACAAACGAGAATGTATCTGGCAACCCGGGCGAGTCAATCAGTATCCTGTGGTGTTTCTCCTGTGTCCGGGGCTCCTACTTGGATGCATTGCCGGGCTCTGGATCTGGATCTTGAGTTCTTCTGTTGCAGAACAGTAGAAGTCGCTGCTTTAGGACAATCTCCGATCGTAAACCTTCTCAGAAACATAAAGAGCACGGAATTTGGAGAACGCGCCGCCGAGGTTTGGACCTGGATTGGTGCGATCAGTCCCAGGTTCTACCCACCAGCAGCCTCGGGCTAAGAGTGGCTTTAGAAGCAGCAGGGCTCATATTACTCATACAGGCAATTCGGGGCTGAGCTTCGGAGTCAATGTCACGAGGCGTGCTTGCTGGTAGCAAATGCCTGAGACTCTATGAACAATGCTCCGTTAATTCTGCGAGGCAGGATGTT